GGGGGGTGTTTAATGGGTTTCATGCACAACCATCCACAGTAATTTTCATGATGTGAAAAGCTAGCCCCGAAATACCTCGTCACTTGAAGTGACTGCATGAATTCCCCTAACTCGTCCCTATATGACTAAACGCCTCGTCCAATTTAGGCTTCGCAGATAAAAATGTAGGTCGGTCTTTCTGCATAAATGTAACACAAAAATCGGCTTCATTTATAAGGCAACAATTTGGGCGTGGCGGTCTCCAAGATCCAGTCCTGGGAAAATTAGGGAGATTATAAAAATTGCAAAAAAAATTAATAGCTAATAATGTGCCCATGGCCAGAATTTAGTAGTCAATGGACAAACACAAAGTGTGTAATAATAAAATTGAGTAGAGTTATCGTTCACTTCTGACATTTCGAGGGTGTAGTGAAGACGAATCCTCCGGTTTAGCGTATATTGGTTTACGTATGTGCATAAGATAATTGTAGGAAATGTCTTCCTTGATAAGACCTGAGCATATCTCAATGCATGCAAATAGGGAAGTATTGTGGTCTTCTAATCATTCCGCTTATTCAAACTGGTTGTGTTTTGTAGTTTACTCTGCTATTGACTGCTGGATCATTAACTATGGGTCATTAACTTCATACTTTACCAACTTGGCGTAATCATTTTAATCAAATTTGACTGAGTTAACTTGCTCTACTTCCACGCCAATAAATTTGTAGGTCAGTTTGTTAAATCGAAATATTTGGTCGTTAATCCTCTCCAAAATGTTTCCTATAAACTAAAGCACTTTGTCCTGTACAAATTTGTTCTCCAAATGAAAGCAAGTACTGAGAAAAGCATAAGAATTTTATGACTCAAGAATGATAACTGCATTCTAATTGTCTTATTTATAACTATTGTTATAACCCAAAAATAGTTTTGTTATAATGTTTTTTTTCAGTCGTCACCAGATTTACTAAATATTTAGTCATCGAGTCTCTACTTCAAGTATTTCAGCACTTCCAAGTTTATTTATTAATTGGGTCTTACAAACAATTGAGATAAAATTCGTATTTGAGCGTTGCGATCAATAAATATTGAAACTAATGAACGAATCTTAGTGATAATAACCATGACATGAGTCAAATTTTATACACTTTTTATTGAAGAGAGGAGGGGGGGGGGTTGGTAGTGGTAAGAGCGTATACTTTGAAGAGGCTGAAGCCAGAATAAGTATAAAGTGAAGGACGACTCTCAATGCATTTATTCATTGATTCCCATTTTTGGTAACTGCCTCGTTTCCATTAGAAGCACAACATCATGCATACGCGACTCATATAGAACTTCTTTGTATTTACAGTGGCAGATAAACACGCGCAGACACGCTTGTCAGTATGCCGCTCGTATCCAAATTTCTCATCGCATCTCCCCCACGTTTCTGATCGATGTGTATTCTACTTTTTGGAAAGTTTCGTGACACTATAAGCATTAACCCCTCTGCATAGCAATATCTCGAAGAGACTAGTGTACACTGTATTCATTTTACATTAGCCTTTTTGTGAAAAAAAGAAACCATTTCATTCATGGTTAACTTTATTTTGTTTATGTACTATTGCTATCCAATGCCGCTATCCTTTATCCTCATAGTTAATACCACTTAAGGTAGTTTCATAATTCCTCCAATATATTCCCTTTAAAGTATAATTTTCTCAAGGATTATAGAGTCATGTGCCTATTGGATAAATGGAAATGAAGTGATAGAATGGAGGGCATCGGAGTGATCAGCAGTATTACCCTGCTTCATATCTACTGTGATTCCTTCTAGTTCATTTTAATAGACCATCGGTTTGGCCTAGTCACCATACTTCCATACACTGAACTTCTCTCAACCACGTCATCATCTCTGTCTATTTTCTGAATTAAGGGTGGAGAAATTCATGCTAACTTGGAAGGGAAGAAGCTTAGCAAATTTATATCTTACCCTGATGAATTTAATAATATCTAGTTAAATTGATACTATGGCAAATTCAGTATATTGAGAATCTTTTACCATATTGGGCAATAGAAATTTCCGGTGAGTTGATGTTTACGGGAAGCCATTACCCTGATTCAGAAGGAGAATTGCTGCGAACATTGTAGTAGAAGGTAGATAGGAGTGTAATTTGAAGTAGCAATGCAAAAATAATATATGTATTTTAAGGTGATTAGCCGTAGAATTTCTGCAAAGTTTCCGATTGGTAAGGATCAGGTGGCCACTCCACAAGGAGAGAACAATAGATAGTTTTAAAATTTGAGTTTAAAAGCATAAAGCTAAGTAGCAAATTTAAATTAATTAGATCCAACTAACTCTAAATAATTCACATTGTGTAATTATTTCAAGGATCAAAATAAATAATTTTCAAAAAGACTGAACTATTTCCTTTTTGAAACTTCACTTATTCACAATTTTACTCCTTTGTTAACAATTTCTTAAGACGAAGTTTTTTATGTCAGACCCAAAGCTGTCATCGATTTACTCTTTATTTTCTCGATATTGCTTACTTAATTACGCTTAACATTTTTAATTATATTGATAATGAATTCATTTAATTATAATCTTGATTTCAGTAGGAGCCGATTTTCATTCTAAAGTGTTAAAATTTAAAGGAGAAATTACAAAATCTTGACCGAGGTTACAATTGGAAATACGCACCACTAAGTAGTGCCACATTAGGGCAAAGCGCAAATCTAATTAGCCAGCTGCCCTCAGCCAATCAGAAACCTCCTCCTCACCTATTTAAGGCTTACAGCTGATTGAGACCGGGACTTTCTGGGGTTGCGTGCTTTACCATGGCTGCAGAAGAAGGGAGGGGGTCAAACCCTAACAATGCACAGGTTCGTCGGCCTGAAATGCTTTGCCCAGAGTCTGGGAAATTGTACATATTTGGTTACGGTTCTTTAATTTGGAAACCCAACATTACATATTCAAGAAGCTGGATCGGTTATATCAAAGGCTACAAACGAAGATTCTACCAGGGTACAACGACACATCGTGGTACTCCTCAGCAGGCTAGTTCTACCACTATTTTGATAATATTCATTAATTCGCAATACCTACTTTGTATAGATATAAAATCTTGAGTTTTTCTGATATGTAACTCACATTCTGTCACCTAAGTACCCAATTGTAAATTGATTTACTTAAGTGTTATCGCTTTGCAAATTTTTAATAGTTAATTTGCTTATACGTTTCATTTCTTACTAAAATAGTCAAGGGCTACCTTTTCAAGACAAGTTTTTGGACATTACTAATTAAATCAATAAATTTCCCCTAGGCGAGGTGAGGTTCTGCTCGGATTTCACTTTAAAATGTATGAATTCGCCTTTAAATTTACTAGAAATAGGTTTAGTTTTGTTCTTTGTGAATCACTGTACAATTTGAGTTCCATTTTACTTGTAGCCCGGTCGTGTTTTGACCCTTTTACCATCAAGTGACAAAGAACAGCGAGTCTGGGGCAAACTTTTCGAAGTTGATGGTGTGGACGAAATTAATGCCGCGATCGAACACCTCGCTGAACGAGAAATGATCCTCGGTGGTTATCGATTTGATGTTGTTCCTTTTTATCCCTTTAAAAACTGCGAGAATAACAATTATGAACAATCTCCAGAAGTCATCCAATCGATTGTATACATCGCTGAACCTGGAAATGATCAATATATTGGTAAAGCGCCTCTTGAAGTTCAGGTATAATGAAGTGGATTCAGTGTTGAAATTAAATGCTAGTATTCAATGTCAATAATGAAAATATCAATATTCATACTTTTAGGCACGACAAATTGCCATCGCACATGGATTTTGTGGTCCAAATTCAGAGTACTTAAAGAAGTTGATCGAATTCATAATCGAAGAGGTACCAAAAGACAACCTTCACCACGACAAATACTCACTTGATTTGTGGAATCTTGTAAACGAATACCTCCAACAGATTGCTTCTTCGACATCACAGGAAATGAATAATTCCAGTGAAATCCTCACCCCACTGATCGTTAGCTCTATTGTTTCAAATTAATTTTTTTCCCACCTGATTGATCATCACCTTTTCATTTTGGTTAATTTTTTTCCACTCTGTGTGGTCGTTTTATTTTATTTTAATTTTCATTTCAATTGGTTATTTCAGATTATTTTCATACCCAAACAAAAGATTTAATAAAATTCGGAGTATTTACCACCTAGTGGGAGCGTTTTTTTTCAGATTTTAAAATCACAATATATGCTGGCTATGGTGGGACATTCTTGTGGGTCTAGCCTCATTGGAAGGACATGCTTTGTTCTGCAATTTCACCAAATTTGTTGCAATTTAGGCCTAATGGAGAAATATTTAAACTCGGGGATGAAGTGATCGGTATGATATTCACCTCAGTGACCGTGAGCTCATGTGAAATTTAATTTCAACTTATTTCTATTCTATTTGGGAGGGGGGGGGGGGATTTTCACAGTCGAAATATTGAATTCCACTTGGTTAAATTTATTAGCATAGCCTTGCTGCCATCTTATTGTTAATCGTCCGAATATTTAATCTTGGTGTTATGAGATAAATTTGACGAGAGAATTCATTCATGTCTAAGGAGGTGAGTTAAGTTTCCATTATAATACTTCAAGGAACTCTGGAACTGGAAAGGTGCTTTTAGCGAGTTTTCTTCAAATTTTTTATTTATAAGTAGAGAGATTTGATCTAACCAAATTATACGAGGTTTACTCACTTCTAATCATGATCAAAATTTGTAATAATTTTATAGCCGTTAAGGCGAATTGGTATTGCTATTCAGTGTAGTAGATTTTTTAATAAAAGTTGGAAGTCTAATGCAATTTTTAATTCTGTGGTAAAAAATAACCTACTAAAACTTAAATGACACAAACTTTATCTAGGAAGGTCATTTCCGTAGTTGATATTTTCACAACTTATTCTACTTTTATTTCGGTTTTACAAGTGATGTCCCTCTATTTTTTTCGATATTGTATTGGCCAATAAGAAGTTTTGCTTGGTTCCTTTAAAGAGCATTTTCTGTTGAATATCTTAAAAGTAGTCTATTAAGTAGTCTATTGGCTAAACTCTGTGCACTAGTGGTGGAAGAATTCGGAAATATTTCATCACTTACGGGTCGTTCACGCTTTCCTTGGGTTCTAGGTAACTTGCACATATTGGTCTGCAAACTCCACTTATAAATTAACTTAGAACCCGGGGTCAACCGTCTATCTTTCACAGATAAGGCCATAGAGATACTTCTCATGAGACCAAAAAAGATAGTTTGGCAGCATGATTAAGCAGGATTGAGCTTGAAATCGCTAACTCCTTACCTTAAAGCTGGTGCATCATAAATTAAACATTTATATTTAGTTATATCAAATGGCAGGCGTTTTGATAGTCACCATTAGCCCTTTAGTTGACTTCAGGCTTCACGGAAGGGAAGGAACATCAAAGTGAAAACAGTCGAGAGGGCGGGAGAGGGGTGAACAGAAGAGTGTTTCAAAGATGTAAAAGAGACAGACACAATGGTAGAAAAAAGGTGAGGTGAGTACTGTGGAAGTAGTTGAATATGACAAACAGTGGGGTGATGGTAGTTTGAAGTGAGAAGTCAACTGCCGGTTAATAGACTCTTGCCGTATGAGTATACGTTACCCAGGGTGCACCACGTGGAGGTAAATTTATCGCACACCCCTATAAATTAAATATCGTTACCTCAAAGTGAACCTTAGTATTTCCCACACTTGAGTGAAAATTGGCGATCACAAGCTGTGAAAAGGTCTTTTTCCATAGAAAAGGACATGAAATAGAATGTCCTGAGGACCATAATCTGCAGTTCTCTTGACCAAAGGTTTTTTGATGAAGAGCACCACTACAATTTGCTTTTTAGGCAACTTATAAGTTACCTTGTTAAGGCATGTAAAGCTCGTTGCTATGAGGCGCCTAAATTCCTAACTTAGAGACTTTCATCTAATTTGCTACTGAATTATCGAGTGATAAGGTACAGGAAACTCCCCATAATCCTAACTTGGTGTTCAATAAAGAAGTGAGAGAAAGAGACAGATCGAGATTTCGAAACAAAACAAAGCGAATGAAATTTTGCTATTTGAAAGATAAGAGGGGAGTCCGTGCTCAGTGTTTATAAACTCTCAATTACCCAACTTTCTTCATATTTCAAACAAATCAGAGATGTTTCTAGAAGTTTTAATCGAACCATTCTATTTTAAATGACTTAAGTCTCCAGTAATTTTACTTTCCGCCTTATCTGCTAATGATAGTCCACTTGCCGATTTGCATCTAGTTCACTAACGTTCTTTGTCTAGTTGTGTTCAAGACTTATCTCTCGGGCTTAAAACGGTTCACGAAATTGTCACCAGTGCTGTGAGTTCCGCTTCACCACAAGGTTGCTATGTCCTCCCTTCTTTTCCCTGATAAGATGTACTCTGTTTCAGTCCTGTATTGTAGTAACTGAGATCTTGAATTCGGAAAATTCACTGGCTCAGCTAGTTTCCTCTACCTTCCATTACTATGCTAGAGTCTTCAAGGAGTAGTGGCAACCATAACTCCTCTAATCCAAGAGGTATATCTACCTATCAAGAGCAAAAATTTCGAATCTCGCTTTCCCTTCCCCTTTAATAAATTTCAGATATTCTTCTTCGTCCCATATATGAATATTTACAAAGTTTTTTTTTTTGACAAAATGGTAGCCACAAAGTCCTTTGAAATAATATTATTTCGTTTTTCCTTTCGAAAAAGATGACATTAAAATTAAATGAATCGTGATGTTGACACGGAGAAAGTAGAAAGAATGAAAATGTCCCCGTAGTAGGTATGAATTTTCTTTGGGAAAGAAGAAAAATGGATGAGTTTTGAGATTTCGTTTCTAAAATCAGCCATTTCTACGCTGCGCAAATCATGACGAGTACTGTTTTCTTCCCAAGGTCTGTTATGAAGACAAATCGAATCCTTTCGTGGGGTTCAGTCGAGCACACTAAGAGTACATTCAGTGCATTCGTGAGCTCATCTCTCATGCACTAAAATATCGATTATTGGATGTCTTAGCTCGGATATGAATTTGAAGGAAGAACTCAACTCTATTGAGATTTGCCAACCAATTTGCTAACGTTCATCCCAAGTTCAATTTTACAAGAGCACATTTATTTGTTACTTAGTGGAGCGTTTGTTTGGGCACTATTCCTCTCTCTTCCTTATCCAGCTATTTTAAAGGTCAACTAAGCAAGGTATAAAAATAGTCTTAATGTCTTGTTTTTGCATCCAGTTGAATAAAGCTTCAGTTTTAGAGGTAACTGGTTAATTAGATATTGCTTTTCCAAGAGCAAGAGTTTTCGTTTTCCAGCACAATCATAATTCAGCATTTAACAAATAAGCTTAAATTAGTCTCGCTACAACAGAAAGCGTACACATGAAATCGTTTAAATCTAAAAGTTTGAGAATTAAGGAGTGCTTAGTGAATATATGCTGCGATTTACAACAAGGACAATTGAATTACTTGACCACTCGAATAAAGTGGTTGGGCATTAATACCATTATCCATCTAATGGGGAAGATGGCAGCAAAATGGTTCGGGTTAGCATGATCTAAACGTAGCAGAGTTCATGAGAGTTCAGTCGAGATGAACTCAAATATAAACTGAAGGGGAGAGTTTCCAACACATCCTACAACCCTTGAATAGACTATAAAAAACCGTACTTGCATGTGTACCTAAAAATCGATACCTTATTTGACATTATTAATACTGTAATCAGCGCTCAATAAAATTGCCTTCAATAGAAGTTAAAATGAACAAAACCAAATGAATGAATTCACACAAACTTTATTAGTAAATGACGTTCTTTTATTGGGACGATTATTGATTTAAGTATTTCGTAATAAATGTGCACTCGTAACGTAAATGCGCATAAAGGAAATATGAAAACTCCAGATCGCATGGCTAAATAATTTTGTCACTTAATTTCGGGGTGGCGACTAAGTGGAACATATTTCACCCTCTTTGTTACTAAGCTCATGTTTGTTCAAAGAATAGGAAGTATGGTTACTTATATTAAAATGTAAAGATTTACAATGAAATATAAGTAGTTTAGAAATAGGACGAACATTGTGAAATTTAATTAAAAACTCTCCGATGAATGAATTTTCCATTTTCAGTTGTCAAATTAGACGTTCCTTAAAGTATTCCTTTAACGACCCACAGTTTTAATTTATTTAAAAAATGATGTAATATAGCTAACAATCAATAATAAAAGTCATAAACATGTAAAGTCGGTGCTTCTATTTCTGAATTTTTGATAAAATATAAAACCTTTTACGCAAATAACGAATTGATGGAGTTTTAACCCTTTATCACCCCAATTATTTATTGGAAAATGCACCCAACCGCACTCACGCGTGTCTTACAGCAGGCTGATGCTGACGTAATGAGTTTGGTGGCAACAGGCGAAGGCTATAGACGTATTGAATGTGTTTCAAACGGTAATGGCGACTTCTGTTACGAGTCTAGTACCACTGCAGCTTATTTTGAAGGAGGTCCTGCAGGGTGTTAAATGGTTAATAATTGTGCAAAATGTGGAGACGGGCATTTCTTGAGGAGAATAACCCATTGTGCCAAAATTGGTATTTTTATGCTCTTTTACATCTACTCTTTCTAAATCAGTAAAACATTTAAGAAACGCTTTTCGTTTTCAAAGCGAAATAGAGGAGAACACACTATAACTGAAAATAAGTTTAAAATAATTGGGGATAGACCATTTTACTTCTTCACTACATACATTCTAGAAACTCCCTCAAATGCTCACTTTCACGATAAAAATTAGTCAGACACATGCTTAGATTTTGACTCATGTTTCACATCGAGGTCTATCCTTAGAATAATATTATCATTTATTTATTTATATCAAATGGCAGACGTCTTGATGTTTATCATTAGCCCTTTAGTTGACTTCAGGCTTCACGGAGAGGAAGGAACATCAAAGTGAAAAAAAGTCGAGAGCTGAAGGGGGGGGGAACAGAAGTGTTTCAGAAACAAAGGTAGAAAAAAGGTGAGGTAATGGTAGTTAGAAGTCAGAAATCAGCTGACGATTAATAGACTTTTTGCGTATGAGTATACGTTACCCAGGGTGCACCAAGTGGAAGTAAGTCTATCACAAACCCCATAATATTATCATCTAATTCCTTTCCCATGGTTCACCTTCGTCCCTCGAGCTGAGTCTTACAATCTTTAGTAAGCTTAAACTTTTGCCTATTCAAGGGAAATAAACATGGAAACATTAAACAATAACACGTGACAATTATTTTTTGTTCAGCCAGGAAAAAACATGTATAAGATATGAACTTGGCGCTCTTACTCACTAAATAAAATGGAATTTTTGTTTGTCTGTGCAATTTTCCTTCAATTAGTCAAGATAGATGCTTCTCGCTGGTATTGAATTTAGCCGAATCGATTGCATTCCATACCGTACGGAATATTGGGTGTGTAACGTGGCAAGCCTCAGAGACAAGAACTCTTTCATTTCTGAATAGGGATCTCTTATTTGGATAGCCATCTATTCACGAATGGTTACTGCTCATGTTAAAGGCTGAGAGGTGATTTTATAATTCATCGGAATACGATCCCGGGAAAGGTCATTTAGATTTAGCATTATAACAAGGAAGAGTATTTTGTTTATTTGTATGGGACTAGTTATAGTTCAGGTTCATAATGGCTGTGGCAAATGAGGTAACCAATGAAATCAGCCAAAGACTAAATGTACCAATGAGGCGCTGTGCAAGAATTGTCATTGTGTGACTAAAGCACAATGACCAATCAAAATCTTCCGACAACAAGTTGGTCTGGATTGGTTAACACTAGCTACAATTTAACCTTCACGTGCTAGATTGAAAGGCGTGCTTCGTAAGTTCGTCGCTGTTTGCTTGCTTGGCACATAATCTACAAAATACTCACAAAGATGGGTTTTTATTATTCAATCACATGAAAATGAGATAAACTTAAGTAAACCCAGCATGTTTTGTTGTTGTGGATAGCTCAACATTAGCGGCTCTCGGGAAATTCATCTGTTGATGTCCTAGCGGTGAGGTGGATTGGAATTCATTGTGCTTACGTAAGTGTAGATTTCAAATAAACTGTTGACACTGATGATTTTCATTTTAATCGTTTTTGGAATAATACATTTTGGTCAAATAGTGTGACTTTTTAAAGTTAATAGCTGCAAGCTTTGTTAGATTGCTTGCAACTTCGCCAATTCGTACAAAATTCATAAAACCTCCAGTTCTAATTTCATTTGAGTTTGAGGTATGTACTATTCAGTTGTCTGAAAGAGTTCAGAGTTCCGAATTAAAGTTTGCGCCTTTACTTTCGCTACATGTAAAGCACGCCGTTATTTCTGTCTTCTCTGGGGTGGTTTACTGAAGATTTATGATTTGAACTTAAATAGAATTACACATGTTGGCCTCTTATTTAAACTACATTTATGCGACTTTAACTTTTTGGAATAAAATTCAAACGAATGCGTGTAAGGTATCGCTTCTTTCTTTCCCTAATCCTAGTTTTAAAATACTTCTAATTTTAAGGAGAGTGCTTTAACAAAAATTTTGTACTTGCATCTAATGGGAGAGAAAGTGAGTGTACGCTATTTCGAACTCAGGCTTGTAAAATTATGCATTATTATAAGTAATAAATAACCTGCAACACACTCTGGTGGTATATCTAGGTCCATTTTAATATTTACTATATTTTGTAAGTTTTAAGGAAATATCTGGTCGTAACAGTGAGAAAGTGCAAAGGCCTGAGCGCATCCAAGGCGCGCAGTAGGTGGTGAAATGGGAGAAAGAGTCATGCAGAAGCAAGTAAATCGATCAAGACATCAAAAGTCTTATTTAATTTGAATTATGGGTGTATCAGGCCATCAGTTTTCCCATTGTGTCATGCTAAAGTTATAACTCAAAGCTTTAATTTCTCTTTTACTCTCTTGAATCTTGATCGCTGAATAGTTAGTTCGCTTTGGCCTCCACGTCCTATCTTTAGGAATATATCTTCGCTATGTTAATCTGAAGTTATGGGAATATCGAGTACTTTCCTTTGAGCAAACGATAGTGCAGCATAGAACAGTTAGTAGAATTTAGTGCAATGGGAGTTCGTCTGAAGTGAGATAACGCTAATTTTGATATTTTGACAATATTTTTAGGCCTAATGGACGATACCGAGATACTTCCTACACTTGACTCTCTATTCGACGAGCAGGCAGCTGCCCGTGAGGGCAAGCCTCACATTTCCTGTGATATGTGGGGCAGCTGTACCCCTCGCAATATCAGCAAAAAGATCCGGCGTACCGCTTGTCTGAAACCCCTCCACCGAGAACTCCTTCGGCAATTTGTTAATATTTGCACTAATGCAGGCATTGAAGCTTTCGTCTATGGTGGCACAGCCCTGGGAGTTTATCGTGAAGGTGGCCGTATGATTGCCTTTGACTATGACGCAGATTTCGCCACCTTTGAGTACTCATCCGATGGAGAGGTTGGCAGCCTCAGCTGTTTGGCCAACTTCTGCCTTAGTGAAGGGAGCAATGCCAAAGTTATCAATATAGAGGGCCTCATGCATAATCCTCCTGCTGATGCGACCGTTTATGTAGACTTTCAAAATGTCTTTGAACCAAGTGCTCCTTGGTTCTCTCTTAATACGGAGGGGAAGGTGATCGAGAAGGTATTTAATGGTGTTGGCGCCAAACGGGCAAAGTTTTATTTCACTCATCATGGTTTACAAGAGGCGGCTAAGAGAATTGGCCAAGTCAAAGCGTCCGTTTTAAACGAAGTGAGTAAGGATTTAACAGACATTCACATTGATCTCTTTACACTCTCTCCCCATCCTGACTCACCTGATGAAAATCTACGAGTAAATTGGCACCGAGGAGGCCTCTATAATTCATTGAACAAAATGTTTTCCACTCGACATTTTCTTCCCCTTCAGAAGGTCATTTTTGAGGGCGTGGAAGTCTTCGCCCCGGCAAACTTGGAAGGATATCTCAAGGAGGAGTATGGATATTTAGGCAGGGATGCAATGTATGATTGTTCAACTCAGTGTTATGTTAAAATCCCGGAGGAATTTCGCGAATCGCTGCCTCCAAATTACAAGAAATATATAAATGGCGATCCCCTGTAAATTAATGTATTTTGATTTTACTTAAGTAGATAATTATTCACGCCAAATGGTTGTTAATTCAAGATGAAAACATTTAGAATTCACTTATTTTACTTTGATCTACAATTTCTAAGGTTAAAAGATAGTGATATTCGCTTTAGTGGACAGGTTGGCAGGGCAAGTACCCAACGGTTTTAAGGTTTTCTCGTTTACAACTCAGCTAATCCATTCACTTCCTTATAAAATGCGAAAACGCTAGTATCAATATTAACCATGGTAAAGCTCAAATTTGATTTGATATCAAGGAAAAACTCACAGTTTAAATTAATCAGGATTGGAGAAATGAGTTTGTACCATCCCTGTACCCAATGTTGGCGGAGTTTAAGTTGCTTTAAACCAAGATGTGCGCCTTTGATACTTACTACATGTGTTTTGCATTATCGACCAGCTCAATCAGCTGATTTTGCTTGAAATACTATAATCGATTCTTTATCAGCTGATAGACAGAATTAATTTTAAAGTGACTAGCATTTTATAATGAATAGTTTATGTGAGATATTAGAGGCATTTTGTTGGCGATGTAAAATTCATGAAATTTGGAAACCAAAGCCCGCTCCAGGCGATGACATTTTAAGAAGAATGCATTCAGAAGCAGCAGTATTCAACGCTGTCTATCGATGCAAGAATTCAAGTGTCCCTACTGAAGAGAAAATTCATCAAACAATTAAATTTTTAGAAGAAAATGAATTTTGGCGCACGAACTCTCTCTCTTTGTTTGCAAATCACAAAGATCCAGGGGTTGTTCGAGTAGTGAAAATCCTACAGAAACAAGAAGTTCGAGATATATGGAATGGGGAAGAACCATGTGAACACAAAGGCAATTCCAAGGAACAATCAAATCAAAACGGAAAAAAACCTTCAAATAACGTAGAAGAATCGAGAAAACCAGTTGCAAGCGATGCGGTTGAGACGGATGGAGGTGCAATTGTGGATGAACAGAAAAGTGATATTGGTGTAAATATTAATGATAGAAAGAATATGTCTTGCTATCCTCATAATAGTCAGTTCCAAAATACTTCACTGGTCCCAGTCAGTAGAGAGTGGGTGCCATCGTATAACGTACAAAATACAACGGTTGACCAAACCACTACAAATCCTCATAATGAGAATTAACTGCAAGGGGAATAAGTAATTTATTCGATTAAAAGTAACTAATTTGATAACCCTTCGAATATTTATCTATTCGTAAATGATCCCTTGATATTTCTGACTGATTTCGAATCACATAACTTTAAAAATTATTTGACTTTTACTTTTATTACAGATTGAGACACAAGATTTTGACACGCCCTTGTCATTGTGTTAACTCCTTTTGAGTATTTTCACATTTCCTAAATCAGTATAAATGAGACTGATGAGAAAGTTGAATGCCTGAATACCAGAGGGTAAATAGTCGGAGTTAAATTTCGGTTAGTATATTTGAGCTAAATTGTTTTAACCCTAAATAACTGGTGATTTGGAGAAAGTTCTGTGAATCCTTACCATATGTACAAGGAAACATTGAAATTACTGAATAAAGTCTGCTATAATCATTCAAAATCCACTGGGGCTTGGAAACAATGAGGATTCAAGTGATGTTCGGTATTTGTCTGCATGGAATCTTTTTGTGTGAAATAGCCATCGGCACCTTTATCACTGCTCTATTTGTACTAAATCTAAAACTCAACTTTAAAGCCACTTGAGTGCATTATTTAGATCATTGACTGAGCATTGAATAACACGCTATGTCTGATACTCTTAAAGAGATTCCAGGTATAATGAGCACAATAATGCTATAAATTATTCAATCATTGACTCTTGGCAAAGTTTGGTGCGTAGCCTAATGAAACAAAATGATCAATTTTTGGCTATATTTTAACAAATTTTAACCACAGAATAGTTAAATTAAAGAAAAATTAATTTTGATCTTTTCTCGTAATACCTTTTTCCTCGCATATTACACTTCTGATAGCAATTATAATGTTTTGGCATTGTATCTTGAAGAATAATATTTGATAAGCGTGGAGATTTTTTTTTGGGGGGGGGGGGGGGTTCGGGATTGGTTGATACATCATTAAAATCAATAATTTATAATCAGTTTCTAGTGCTACAATCCGGTTTGAAACCATTACTATAATCTATATTTGCCTATTTCAATATGAATCCAAGTATGATCGGAATATTCACGTATTCGAATTTGAAAAGTTCATGCGGTAGATAAATTTTGCTAACTTCAATAATTATTGAGATACATAGTGTTAAATATGTAAAATAGTCAAAGGCAAAGTAATAATTTCTAATTAACATTATAAATAAGATTTTATCTATTTCAAAAGCATTGTTTAACTAAATCAATAAATTTTATTTTGTGTTTGGAAAATATCCAAATTTTTTAGGTGATTGTATGGTCTCATGTGTAATAAATAAATAACTTCAGAATTTCGATTTTCAATGTCAGTTCAAGAATCTGCATCTGCCTTAGTTAATCTTCTATCCCTTCTTGGACTTCCGAGAATAAAAGTTGATGTCATACGACAGATGAAGTTGAATTCCCCTAATGTATACAACGAATCAGTTCATATTTTATGGAGTTTTATAATTCTCCTTCAGAGAAATCAGGCTGTTCACGGTGACATAGACTCTGAAGACATGGAAACTACAGCGATGATAACGACCGTTAACAATTTTATTATTTCTCAAGGTTTTCCTTTATTTATTTCCTCAACAAACAAAAATCGCAATTCTTTGGCTCTTATTAATTTATTGTGGTGTTTTCATCATTTCAAAATATTTTTGCTACCTGAATCTATTTTCTCTGGTGCAATTTTTGCACCACCAGGTATACATTCTCCTAAATTTCTTCGAAAAATTTCGCCTGCCGAAAATTTTAAACAATACCTTTTGAACGTTTCTAGTATCACGTCTGCAATTCGTTTAAAGGAAACAGAATTAAGTTTGCTATTTAAAGCAATACTGAATCAACCTAGCAAATTACATTTAAAATTTCCTCTCCATCCGTTATCTTCTCTTCAACGCAGCATGACCCTTCTTGAACTACTCTATGTTTTGAATGATAATAAAGCTTCCCAAAACAACGATCTTTCTAAATTCAAACGTTTTCTTGATACACTAACTAAATGGAATCGAAACTCATCCGCATTCTACCGTTGGGTACGTCTGCCTTCAGGTACTGCTCTGTCGGATTCGAATGAATGCGTTCTCAATGTAAATGAACAAATTTCCCGTCAGATCATTTCAAAATCCTATTGCCTTCTTCAAAAGCAAAGTTCAATTCTCAGACGGTATGGTTCTGAGATGACTACTATGACAACGGACATAAATAAATCAAATCCGTATGAACTTCAGACGGAATTTAAGCGGCGTCTCGATTTCATCTCTGACTGTTTGAAAGCACATCCCTACCAGATTCATCCTATGGAAAATTTTTCTATAGCATCAGAGATTTCAACGGTTATGCACAAATTTGATGCTCAAACCGAGAAGCAGGTTCTTCAGTCACTGATTTCATCCTTAAAATCTCAGCTCGCTTTTAGAAAAAGTTGTATTCATTCAAAGATAGAAAAAACCTATCGTGACCTACTTCCCAATGTCTCTTGTTTTCATAAACATGTTTAAATATATACTGTTTCCGTAAATTATGAATTCTAAGACGCCCAGTTTCTTCATCCTTATGAATATAAATACATAATTAGAATGTTAGATTTTGCATGATAGATATGGCAGAAAATGGAACTGTTCGAGTTCAGGAGAGATTTCGGGCCTATTCCAAGCCAGAACTTCTTCAACTCGCTTCTTATTTAGCTCAACATGATGTTGCTTTCAATAATCTTCCTATATATCCTACAGATAAAAGTGCTGACGACGATCTTAATATTCAAATTCAAAAGGTAGGAATTTATTTTATCTATATTTGTTTAATTTTTTATTAGGACCCGAAACCAATAGTCAAGAAAGAAAAGCCCAAGAACGTACCACCTAAGCCTTCAACAAGATCTCATTCTCCTCCTGTTAGAGATACTGGTATTGATGTTCCCCTAGGAAAACCCCTTTATGCTCCTACAGAACGTCAGTTGAATGCGACACAGGTAAAGTGATTCAGTTCATTCTAACCTTATTCTAGGAATCCCATCTGAGGCAGCTCATCAGCAAATCTAAAGCCGCTCTATTAAAGCTGGATAGAGAAATACTGGCTGAACGATCAGATCTAAGTTTTAACAAACGAAGGGATCTTTCCGAGCCTTCGATGATTCAGCGTCTTTCGAAACGCCCTAATGCACCGACCGGTGTCCTAAAACCCAGAGTTCGAGCTCTTGGTGATAAAGGGGCTCCAAAGACCAGGAGGCCCACCTCTGGTAGAAAGGTTACTAGGTCAATCAAAAATTCCGCAAATCTGGTATATCACGAATTATTATTGTAAAATAAATTACAAACTTTAGTCTTCCCAGCATGCTCCTGATCCACCGAGCTCCCACGATACGAGAATACTCTCGGCTTATTTGAAACGACTTGCATTGGAAAAGGGCTCTCAAGGACAAGAAAATTTTCAGCTGACTGATACAAATCAACCAAAGGAACCTCCAAAGGGTGTGTTCACTTTTAGTTTTGAATTTTTGCAAATCTTCCAATACTCTTACCTTGAATCGTTTTTATCCATTTATATTGGTAATATTTTCATATATTAAATCTTTATTTCCAAAATTGATTTCGTATTAGGCAGTGAATCTTGTTTGTATTTCCCAAGTCAATTCATGACCTAAAGTTACCATTATTTTGTGAGCGGTGTCGCCCTCGGCGCCTCCTCGTGTGTATCGATTTTCATACAATCGAGTATCCATTAATCAACCTCAAATCATTCTGGCCAATTCATTCCACACCTCTCCAGCATTCTTGTATATGATCAACGGCTTTGTATCCGTTTATGAAAGTATTAGCTCTATGAAGGGAAGGGGTCTTGATTCTTTGTGTCTTTTCCGACAAAAAACATAATGTTTTTTAGTTAAGTAAGCAAGTTAGGAAGTTATTTCTATGCTCTATTCACTAAATTTCTACCATTGCTATTAGTAAATTATCAGCACAAATGTTTTCTATCGGTTCAAGTTACTTGTCCTAGTTGTTTTCTGTCGTATGAATGAACAACTTTTTTGAATTCGTTCACCGTTTTCTCGCTTAATAGGTTCTAATGAGTTAAACGCCCACCAGAATTACGCGGAAACTTCCAACATCCATTACAAGCAACAGTATCCCCCTGGTCTCCTGACTTTCCTAGAAAAATGGGGATCGAAGTTGGATAAGTCTGATTATAAGGAAGCTGGACGACCGCAAGTTCATTTTGACAACGATGAACAACTCGACTCTTCAACTGCTTCAACGTCTACCTCAACGTAAGCCTTAATATTGGGTGGTAATCAAGTAATCTTTCCCCAAATTTCAGCGATTCAATAAGCCAATTTATACGAAGACATGCAAAACACAACAAACAGCCTCACAAATTGAAAAGTCGGAGTGCAGTAAATAAAAGCATCCCTGTGAAGTCTATAAACGCATCAAAATCTAAGAATACTTCTGTAGAACGAAGCAGTTTGAAAGTACGTTGAATATCTGGTCTAAGAAACACAGCCTGCTTTAATTAACCTCAATCCTAAAGCCTATTTAATATTAAAACTAAACTATTCATAGATGGTAAATGAGCTAAAGGAAGATGAAACACCCTATCGAATTCTTCGATTGCCAGTTGAACAATACCAACAAATTCTGACCATGAGTAAAATTGGAGAGGTCGCAAATGCTGGTCGATACAACTGTAAGACACTTTTATCATCCCACAAGTTAGAGAAACCCCATGGGATCGTTCAGGTCAGTGAAGCATTATCTGAAGAAATCGGAAGCGCCTGTGTTGAATCCGTAGCAAAGCTTTTTGAAAATCTTTCAAATGAAGTAATCAATGAATTGCTGCAAAGTGAACTTGCCATCTCAACTTCGCCATGGAGTAGCTTCAGTGGAATTTCGGAATCTCCCCAACAAATGCCATGCCCCGATGTCAAACAACCTATATCGCCCATTTCTTCCAAATCCAAAATTCTTCAATCCTCTGCACCTAAGAACTCGATTGAAAAATCAAAAATTCCGATGCCAAATCAAACATCTTCAAAGACCCTCAGTCCAGTGGAAGAGTGGACTACACGTACAGGTCTTTCAATTCCAGAAAATAAGAGCCCAGTCTTTGTTTTAGGTGGAAGCTCTTTATCCCGAAATCCGGAAGTCAGAGCAGATCAAAAACAGGTAATTGTTGAAGGCGACGGTTTGATTAGAGGAAGTTCTAAAGAAGGATTCATTCTTGAAAGAATTAGCACGCCGGAGGAGGTACGACTGAAATCACCAAACTCTGATATCATACATATCAAGTCAACCAACGGTGATACCTTAATAAAGAATGCATCTAGCGGCGAATCAATTTCATCACTACCCTCCAGAGTTTTACGCCCAAGAGAACCTGAACCAGGAGAGGCACTGTCGTTAAAAAGTAGCTCTTCTCAAGGAGATTTAGTTTCGATTGATAATAGCAATCAAGCACCAACTAATAAAGTTCATAGTCAGGCCGGAGCAGGTCCCAATTCATTAAAATCGACCCACCATCCAAATGTGCGTATACCAGATGAACTCTCAACTCAGAAAGCCTTGTTGCCTTACGATAACCCCCTTTCGCTTGTTTTACTTCCCCCAATTGAAAGATCACATACTCCTGACATTGAAACCATTGATACTTCAATCTTCTCCAATGGCAATACTACTCAGTTTACGATTTCCTCCCCAAACGGTTCTAGTCAGCATTCAAATCAATTCTATGAGGACGATTTCGAATCCACTGGAGAAGGAGACTCGAATTAACACTTGATTTTCCCCACACTGACTACAATTCTTAACCTATGAACCCATCCGAGCTTGTTTTGTAAAGATATATTCTACTAAAATATCACCAGTAGTTGTGCTCCAACAAGCCTATTCCCCATTTTCGAAAGCGACTTAGATTCCATACGATAACTACCATGTATGCATCAGCCTATATTTAAATAAATAAAGCAACTATGCCGAGTTATACAGCTTTCGCAATGACTGGTGTGTTAAAATAGTCATAAAGTTACAGGAACCATAATGATGAGAGAGTCAATAGATAATATAAAAGAGGAAGCTCTTGTCTGTAAGGGAAAAAACAAGAGGTAAATAGTAGAGATCACGAGTATCTTAATCTAGCAGGTTGGGGGTGGTAGTCCAGGCCATTTTTGAACATCATCAGATACAATCCTGGGAGTGGGCATTGTGATAGTTCCAGTGGAGGAATCAGAACCAGTAGTTGTCAACTGTTGAGTTCCGGCAGCAGAACTGGTCTCTTCCTCAGTCTCCTCAACCACTCCCTCAAACTGTCGAACTGAGCGAATACTTGAAGGAACGGAAATGCCACCTCTACCTCGGAATAGATGCCTATGAGTTGGTTGTTGGTATCTAATCTCATCTTGGAGTCCATCACTCGTAAATGATCTTTGACGCAGGCTGGACAAGAGTACTGACGAAGTTTGCGCTTGTCTTAGCCTTCTCTGATGAATAGCATGCATATAGAGCGAACTAGTGTCCATATCAATATGAGTCTCCCCAAACGACAAACTTGCTGCCCCTCCTTCTCCTAGGCTAGAGGCCATAGTCGTTCTATCATCCATTTGAGAAGTGTAGGGTTGATACATCATGTAGGGATGGTACATAGAGAAACTAGGGCCAATAGGTGGTTGATTTGAGAACTTAGAAGGACCAGGTTTTTCCGAAATCTGGCGATAAGTGCTAGGAGACATTTCAGCTGGAGTTCCGGGTCCTGTTTGAGGTGTCGGAGAAGTTGACTTCAACTCTGATTCACAACCAGCGCTATAAGAGGTAGGTATCATAGAGGCGGGAATATGGGAGACATTTTTCATTGGTAAGGGCCTATTATCCCCCTCTGCATGAATAGACATAACCATAGCCACCTTGGGATCAACTCTACTGTGCAAAGATCGCATATTTGGAGTGGTATGCAAACCCAACATAACATCGGCCTGAGTTCGTTGCATATCAATGCTGAGTTGCTTATGCAAGTCATCAATAAACTTCCTGTTCGTCGAAGAAAGATTCCATGTGGGATTAATGGAATAGAAATGAGCAATACTAAGTTCTGTCTTCCCTCCAACCGCAGTAACGTGTCTCTCGCCACCTGAAGCATCATCAGACCCCCCAGGTGAGGGCAAGTCATCACTGGGGTACCAATCGGGGTCACCATGGCGAGACAGTTCTAGCTGAGCGTAGCTACAAATGTCCCCAACTCCATCGATTTCCACAGTGCAGTTCCTCAAGAAGTCCACAATATCAAGACTCCTTTTCGGTATCCCAAATAAAAGGATGATAGGGACAATAAATGGCGAAAGTATTTCCTCCATTGCGGCAACAAATCGATACTGGAAAAGTTGTGAGAACTCAGCCCGAACCTGACTAGTGTGGGCATTGTTCAGCCACTTGTCAGGCATGTAGTGAATCATAGCTAGGGTTGATGATAGTGGGAATCGAGGCACATGATAGACATCTTCAGAAGGTATCAAACTCATGGCAACTTTGGCCACCAAACCACCAAACGCCATCACGGCGAGGTAGCCAGGTAGATGGAGAAATCCCTCTTTAATTGCACCTGCACAAAACATTAAGAGAGATAGACCACCAAGCGTAAATACCAAATGAGAAGCTAGAGTACTAAGGAAACGAGACTGGAAGCAGTCCAGATATTCAGAGGCAGATTTATAAGCTGCATTAAGTCGTAGGTTGAGTTCATGGGGGAGTTCGTTGAAATGACGCAGGTAAAGGCGAGCATAATTAGACCATGTTCGACCAGCAAGCTGAGCAGGATCGAATCGAAGTCTTTGAGAATTTGAGAAGAGAAATAGGAGAATTTGCACAAGAAAGATTATAGGGCTTAGAGCAAGAGAGATAGCACCGAGAATACGTGAATGTAGAGCAAACTCATCTGCCAGTTCAACACGTTTACCGAGGAATTTGTACTCGGGCTTGAGTTGCCAATATGTTTCAAATGGTGATTTGTAACCAAAGAGAAGCTGTTTTAACAGGAACAGATAGTAACGCGGCAGATAAATATAGGGGAGGGAGGAGAAAGGAACATGAAATCGATAAGGAAAGACATCCCGGTTGAACATTGCAAGAACGTAATTTTCTTTACGCAGAATGCGATTGTAAACGTCCAATTGATCCAAAATTTTATTACTATGGCATAGATGCATTTGGGTTTGCACATTGATAAGGCATTTCAACACATCAGACCAAGTGAGATCATTCAGTTCTGAATCACTAGTTGGCATATCAAGAGTTATAGTGCAAAAGCGTCGTACACCCCATAGTTGAGACAGTCTAATGGCTTCTCTTACCTAAAAATGAGAAAAAAGGTTGCATTTAGTTATCACGATAAAACAAGAAAAACAGAGGGTAAGAAACCTACAGTGCTAATACTAAAAATAAGCTTTAACGTACCCAAAAGCTGGATCATAAAATAAAAACGATCAGTTAGAAAGAAAAGGACATAGATAAAACTAGCATAAAGTATATAAATGCCATCAGTTTGAATGCTCTTCCACCCGGCGAAATTCGAACGAGGCTTTATATGAATTTAATAGCCTAAAGCCAATACCGACTTAGGTGGAGAAAGGGCAGCATATGAGTTTTACTCACCGGACACATACGGACTTTGCGGGTAATGGCTTAGTCCGTTAATTAACCGAACTATTTATTTATCAACTGATTAATGGCATGTGTGGCCTAAATTCATGGGCAGCAGTTAAGGTATTCGGTTGCACTAAATCTAACTGATAGATGGACGCGGGAAGACTTGCTTTTTTACATCCGAAAGGAGCTGTGATTCACCTCTACTTACGGTATATGAAAATGCTTTTTAAATGGACTTGGGTTGTTCCTTGTGTCACGCGAAGCAAGCAAATACACATGTAATAAATGGCAAGAATACAATCAACACATCTTAAGATTGCACAATGTTCCGAATTCGCAGTCGAGCATACAGAAAATGATAAACATTAATCATAAAATGATGATCACTATAACCATTATTTATTGACGGGCCTGATCTGAAAAAGATCGACGTTACCAGCATATATTATACTTAATTAAATGGCCATTTACAGGTTGAAAATGAGGTAAAAGGGTACCATGACCATTTGTCACATCAATTGATATAAGTTTAGTGCCCCTAAAGGTAAATTAACTGTTCAAAATGGACAATCGCATAAGCAAGGTGGGATCGAAACCAACTTTCTCAAAAAGAGATTAAAGGATGACTATATTTGCATTATCATATCCTCGAAAAGAAAATTTCAAATTCACTGTGAAATTTAAAAAATAATACCTACTTAAACCCACTCAAATAGATTTTCACAGGCACTCAACAATGTAGGAAACTCACAATATAGACCAAACTCGAGAGCACGGCGAGAAAAACAAATAAACCAGTAAACCATGGCAATGAGGCCCAGCAAACAGGAGGCGGTATAAGAGCATCATCCCAGGAATTAATGGTGGCGTTTGAGTTGATTATAGTGTCCCATTTTACGCAAGATGTAATTTCAACGATCAAAAATAGTAAAAAGGCAAATTTTATGATGGAAAGCACACGGTCCAAGAGGATCACCTAAAGAAGAAACGGAATATTAAAAAACAAGATCACAGAAAACAGCATGCCCATATTTTAAAGTAAAAATTAGGTACATAAAGTAATTCATCAAAATATGAGACACGCAACGCACGAAAAACCCCCCATTTTGGTGGTATTCGTAAATTTGTTTAAAGAACAAATCCAAATTATGAGTATGATCCAACTGAATACGGTAAGATGGCAGTACTCCAGCTTCTTCATTGTTGTAGGGTATTTCCTCGTCAAGCAATAGTTCGTATTGTGTTCTATCTATCCTGGGCATATCCGAGAAAATAATCAAACCCCTGAGGAAGCTTTCATAATATGCTCAATAAAACGATTGATATAAACAAGCGCAATTCCAGGACTCGTTATGTTAAAAATCTTACATAAATATTAAAAATTTAAATTAAATATCCCATCCCCAATATTTTATTATTAGGTAAGAGATCTCGTTCATGTGTAATTATAGTTTGGCTTCGATATAGTAATACTAAAAAAATGAAAGAAGTTTGAATAATCGATTATGCATGCATATAATGTTATATATAGCATTCTCCCATATTTATTTATGAGTTTGATTAAGGCTCGCTAAGATGATTATTTCTCATTTTTTCTTTTCCTATTACCACTAATCCGAATTGAATAATTCGAAGTGCTTGATGTAATATCACAGTTTTATCTCCGATACACTACACTTGTAATTTATAGTTTCCCACACCCACGGTCTTATATGCTAGCTCTCCTGTGTCACGGCCGTTGGGACAATTACTGGCATACCACACAGACAGTCAGTTATCATTTATTCCAACTCCTATGAAACATCGATTGGTCAATAAAAGATCGGTATTTAAAAAAATTATTTCATTTTCTCTTTTGTGAGTGAGAATGGCTGTAAATCACATAAAGCGCAAGTGAAAAGTAATAAATCTGGCAGAACATAATTCTCCATTAGCATCTAAGTTGTTCGCAACTTTACTATTATTAATAGCGAAATCAATTTTCCTTTAATTCGTTTTTTTTTTATTTTTTGAGTTTATGACGTTCCATAATAACAGGATTTTTTCTGATATAATTTGGAGCAGAAGGCCCTATAGCTTTAAACTGGGGGGTTTTCGATGAAACAAACTCATGAAGCTATTTGAATCTATTATCTGAAAAATAAGTGCAAGCAGATTCTTCAAATGAATACTCAAGTATCATGCTTGACATCGTAATTGGAGATTGACCATAATTTAAAAGATGTTCTAGCACAATTTAAGCGATTTGATCAAAGTTAATTTAATTGCGCAATTTCCGAAAATGTATTAGTGAGCAATACTGCCCTCTTAACTGAAATAGATACCCGCGTTTTCGAAAGTACCCACTTTCGAAAATAGTCCAGTTTCATTTTCTGCTCGACGTCATGTTTCATCGCAACCCATGCTATTGATTTGACCTCCACATTGATACTTGGTGTCTTAAGTAAGCTTCTATAATCCACTATTTCGACAATATGCTTATTTAATTGTAGACCATATTTTTGGTCCGTTAAACAGGAATACAAGCATTTACAATTAGTAAATTAGCAATAAAATACGTGCATGCCACCTCCAGATGGAATAGTAATTGTATTCTGATATTTCATCAGAATTCTAATGTTAATCTGAGAATAAATTTAAAAAATTGACTGTAACGACCAAAGCATTAAAGTTTTACAACCAACCGTGCCGAGAATTGTAACATGCTGCTTAAATCTAGAGACAAATGGTCTTAATTTTCCATTCATTCAGTTGTATTTTCCTAATTCTCGGGTTTTTGTCATGTTCATATTCTATCAGATTATTTTGCCACCAGCACTAACACAAGTACTATAATGTGTTTGCATCGAATTTCTCCAAAATACGCGTTGGATTGGGCTTCAGAAAATTTTCCTTCAATTTGATTTACCACCCCATTAAAAATAAAAAGGGTTAATTTCATTAAGCTTAGTTTAGAAAGATGAAACAATTCAAACACTGCGAAAATTCAACAACGTGTCTTTTTTCCATAACTAAATGCTGTCCTTCCCTTTTCTGCCTATAATACCTACATTTGATGCTTGAATTCACCATATTTATGATAATTTTTTATATTTTCTCAAAAGTTATTTAGGTCATCGAATTGACGTAAGCAGAAGTCGCTGATATCCGTTTACTTTCACCTTTAGCAAATGTTCCGTCTCCTTCAGTAAGAAACTTAAAGAGGTGCTTCTTACTATCTTTCCATATCCATTTTGAGCAAATTTATACAAGCTATTTTGCTCAAAATAATTTATATTTATCACAGCAATGATACGTATCTAGATGTTCATAGTTCAACGCTTTAGGCAATACAGATTAATCTAGCATATAGTAATGACATTTGCATTTAGAATTGAGCCATCGAACAAACCTTAAATGTTAAATTGCTTTCAGGTCCGGAATTTTAACTTTTTGGTTGAAATGTCATTAAGAAATACAAAAAGCTAACCACTCTTTACCATTATGCGCAGATTGTTGAATCGGTCGGATTTTTTCTTCAGAAAATATGCGCACATTTATTTATAGGAACGTTAGAAAGCGAGTGAAAAACTATTCAATTTTCTGAGTGCTAATAAATGGAAGAGTGAACTGTATAACGAAATGCTAAGAAACCCAAGATTTTCAGACATTTAACCCTTGAACGCCCGAATAATTTTTTTTGAAAATGCACCCAACCGCACTCACGCGTGTCTTACAGCAGGCTGATGCTGACGTAATGAGCTTGGTGGCATCAGGCGAAGGCTATAGACGTATTGAATGGGTTTCGAACGGCAATAGCGCCTTCTGCTACTAGTCTAGTACCAATGGAGCTTATTTTGAAGGAGGACCGTACGGTCCTGCAAGGTGCTAAAATGTTAAATGCCTTACCAATCTTAATCCATAATCTCCTATGCCACTCAATTCAAAATACTTTTTGTGTTCGACTTAAGGTACCTAAATTTGTCTAGCATTGAAGGAGATTGTACACTCTCGTGGATATATTAGAGCAGACTTGAATTCAAGCCCCGGAGATTCCTTTACGGATTAGATGGCTTGTGTTTGAGAAGCATTGAATTATTTGAGTACCTGCCTAATTTGGTCAATAATACCAATAGAATTTAAGAATTCTTTAATAAAATTTTATCGTACTTTCGTCTTTTTGAGAGGTTCAGTTTAGGTATATCCAATCATGTATTCATTTGCTATTT